CTACAATAAATCAAAAAATTGGCCGGGCATGGTAGCGTGCGCCTGTAGTTCCAGCTACTTGGAGGGCTGAGGTAGAAGGATCGCCGGAGCCCAGCAGGTCGAGGCTGCGGTGGCCGGGAGCGGCCACTGCACTCCAGTCTGGGTGACTGAGTGAGACTCCAACTCAAAAAAAAAAAAAAAAAATATGCATGAGGCTGCAGTCTTATGAATGAAAGAGATTGTGTTGATTTGTGTTTTAATAGATATAGTGAAAACAGACGTGGTGACTCACACCTGTAATCCCAGCACTTTGAGAGGCAGAAGCGAGTAGATTGCCTGAGTCTAGGGGTTCAAGACCAACCTGGGCAATTTGATAAGACCTAGTCTCTGCAATAAATCAAAAAATTAGCAGTCAAGCATGGTGGCTCAAGCCTACAATCCCAGCACTTTGGAAGCCTGAGGCGAGTGGATTGCCTGAACCCACAAATTCGAGACCAGTCTGGGCAACATGGTGAGACCTCATCTCTACAATAAATCAAAAAATTAGTCGGTCATGGTAGTGCACTCCTGTAGTTCCAGCTACTTGGAAGGCTAAGGCAGAAGGATCACCTGAGCCTAGCTGGTCGAGGCTGTGTTGGCCAGGAGCATGCTACTGCACTCCAGCCTGGGCAACAGAATGAGACTCAAACTCAAACTAAAAAAAAAAAAAAAATTAGCTGGTTGTGGTGGTACGTACCAATAGTTCCAGCTACTTGAAAAACTGAGGCAGAAGGATTGCCTGAGCCCAGCATGCCAAAACTGCGGTGGCTGTGAGCATACTACCATACTCCAGCCTGGGCAACAGAGTGAGACTCCTACTCAAAAACGAAAGAAAGAAAGAAAAAAAAAAATAGATGTGGTGGAAACTTTGGAAAGCATAGCTAACTTTTTGGCCAGGGGCAGGATGGGATCCACAACAGAGGTAGTTAAAAATAATTAAGAGTATGCCAAGAAGGGAAAGGGAGCTATGCATTTCTTGTTTTGTTTTGTTTTGAGTCGGAGTCTCACTCTGTCGCCCAGTCTGGAGGGCAGTCATGCTCATGCCACCGCAGCCTCAACCTGCTGGGCTCAGACGATCCTTCCACCTCAGCCTTCCAAGTAGCTGGAACTACAGGCACCCGCCCCCATGCCCGGCTAATTTTCTGATTTATTGTGGAGATGAGGTCTCGCCAAGTTGCCTAGGCTGGTCTCGAACCCATGGGCTCAAGCAATCCTCTCAACTCAGCCTCCCAGTGTACTGGGATTATGGGTGAGCCACCGTGCCCAGCCACCCCTTAAACTTTTAACCACTTAATTTTAGCATCTTAATTTTAGCATTTAACTAGGATTCTTGCCTGAGCTATAATTACTATAATACCAAATAGTGTCTTCATAATTTTATCTTTCCTTCTACATTTATTTGCTGGCTTTTGACTATGTGTAAGAGTTATCAGCCGGGCTCGGTGGCTCAGCCTGTAATCCCGTGCCTTTGGGAGGCTGAGGTGAGTGGATTGCCTGAGCCCATTCAAGACCCGCCTAGGCAACTTGGCGAGACCTCATCTCTACAATAAATAAAAAAATCAGCCGGGCATGGTAGCGCGTGCCTGTAATTCCAGCTACTCGGAAGGCTGAGGCGGAAGGATCGCCGGAGCCCAGCAGGTCGAGGCTGCGGTGGCCGGGAGCGGCCACTGCACTCCAGTCTGGGCGACAGAGTAAGACTCCAACTCAAAAAAAAAAAAAAAAAGAGTTATCTCATTTATTTATTTATATCAGTATGGATTCATATACTATTCAGTTATGTAATCTGTCACTGTTATTATTTATTTTGAGAATTATATTGTCCCATGTTTGGCCAGTGGGAGCCCATTTTTTCTTTTTGACATAACCCAATCATTCTTTGAACCTTTTCTTATGTTTTGGCATAAAAACTATTCTAGGTTAATCTTGTACTTTCCCTGCCTTACCCCTAAAGTCAACCATTTCTCCAAAGCACCCTAGTTCCTTTTAATGGAAAATGGTATTTAGAAGCCAAGATCTAAGTGTCTTGTGTCCTCATTGCTACTGAAGTTGTAATTGCTTCTAGGCCCACTAGTGGACAGACTTAAGAAATATGTATAAGGCTGGGTACCTATGATCCCAGCACTTTGGGAGGCTGAGGTGAGAGAATCGTGTGAGCCCACAGGTTTGAGACCAGCCCAGGCAACTTGGCAAGACCTCATCTCTACAATAAGTGAAAAATTTAGCCAGGTGTGGTGGTGCATGCCTGTAGTTCCAGCTACTTGGAAGACTGATGCAGAAGGATCACCTGAGCCCAGCAGGTCGAGGCTGCGGTGGCTGTGAGCATGCCACTGCACTCCAGGCTGGGTGACAGAGTGAGACTTCAACTCAAAAAAAAAAAAAAAAAAAGAAAGAAAGAAATATGTATATACAGACCCATGCATACATGTATTATATATATATGCAGTCTCCTACATAACTATATTTATTTCTCTATTTCTCTATATACTCAAATCTATTAGAATTTAAAAGAATTGCCCTAGTATCACAATGCAGCACAGACTGCAGAGGCCAAGATAAGTTAATGACAGGAATTTAGGTAGAAATGATTGGGATGGTTCTAGGATGATGGCAGTAGGATTGGTAATTAGAGTTCCATACTTAGAATTCATATAGCTCAATAAATAACTGAAAATATAAGTGTAACTTATAATTCATACTTTTATTTATACTCTACACCACAGGATTAATTTTATCTTTTCTGGGGTCTTTTGGAGTACAGTAGGATGCTCATGTCCATCACAGCCTGTACCTGCTGGGTTCAGGCGGTCCTTTCGCTTCAGCCGTCCAAGTAGCTGGAACCACAGGTGCGCATCACCACACCTGGCAAATTTTTAAAAATTTGTTGTAGAGATGCGGTCTCACCAAGTTGCCCAACCTGGTTCACCTCCACCTCCCAAAGTGTTGAAATTACAGGCGTGAGCCACCAAGCCCAGGCTAATTTTATCTTTTTCTGTTTCTGTATCTATAACTCTCTTCTTCAACAGTTAGAAAACTGACTCTATTTATCTACAATATATTTATTTGATCATTTTTAGAATACACAGAAAGTAGTTTCAGAATTAGTAGCAAAAGCTTCTTTGGAAAGGAAGCCTATGTGTAAATATTTTTTCCTTGGTTATTAAATTATTAACATAGAGCAATAGTATTCAACATGGGCATTTTACCTCCTAAGGGACATTTGGCAATATCCAGAGACATTTTTGGTTGTTATGACTTAGTGGGGCATGAAGGGGCATCTAGTGGGTAGAGACCAGGAAAACAACTAAACATTCTACAAAGCACATGACTGTCCCCAAAACAAATAATTATTCAGCCCAAAATATCAATAGTGCTAAGGTTGAAAACCTCTAACAGAACTAGGAAGACATCTACTCAAGGATTTTACGTAAATGTTTTTTGTCAAATTACTTGAAAGTACGATATAGGCATTATGATACTTCTTTCCTAAATACTCCTAAAAATAAGAACATTATCCTATATAATGACAAATCCAGAAATAAGGGCCAGGACCTTTGCACACTTCAGTAGTTAGTTTTGAAAGAGTTGTGAGAAAAGTTTTCCAGCTGATGTAGCAGTATCTCTGCCACTGGAAGGTCTCTTTCTCTCCCCACACTCACCAAAAGACCTTTTGACAGAAGAGTTGTTATCTACTAGAGTAGATAAACTAGAATCAAATGTGTTGACAGGAAAAAATAGGATATAATCTATGAGTATGGAAATATGTGTATGTAATGTCCAAGACCTATTATAATTGTATGAAAAAGTATTCTTAGCTCTGTTTTTCTGATGGATTGTAGTTGTTATGCTGAGGTACTTGTAAACCAAAGTAATACTTGAATGCAATAGAAGAATATGGCCGGCACAGTGGCTCACACCTATAATCTCAGCACTTTGGGAGGCCAAGGTGAGAGGATTGCCTGAGCCCACAGGTTCGAGACTAGCCTGGGCAACTTGGCAAGACCTCATCTCTACAATAAATCAAGAAAAATTAGCCAGGTGTGGTAGCACGCGCCTGTAGTTCCAGCTATTTGGAAGGCTAAGGCAGAAGGATCGCCTGAGCCCAGCAGGTCGAGACTGTGGTGGCCGTGACCTTGCCACTGCCCTCCAGCCTGGGTGACAGAGTTAGACTACGACTCCAAAAAAAGAAAATATATGGCTTACCTGATGCTATGTTTATACTGGACAGTGTCCAGTAGCAGAATGTTTTAATACAATGAAAGATAAACAGAGTGACTAGAGAGGAAGGAGGTTAGAGGAATGGGCATATTTGAGATGTAAAGCTGGATTTAATTTATTTCAGCAAAGTCACTTTGGTTACATCATTTAGTAATTCAGCAAATATTTGTTTTATGTGTGGTGTTGGGGAGGTGGAAATAAAAAAGTGGGTGCAGTACAACTTTCATCCTAGTTTTTATCTTGTGTTTCATAACTGGGGTATTCATGCTTTTCTCGAAGGAGAGTTTCTTTCTGTTTTTCCATTTCCAGTTAAATTCCAAGTGAAAATTTTCTGCTTGTTATCAAGAAATTTCAAAATTGATAAAGAAGAATAACTCTGCCCATCTCACTGAATTTCAAGTCTTACATAAACAATGAGTTGTAATCTGTCACTGTCCTTATTTATTTTGATGCTTGTATTGTAAAATATATAATTCAATATATGTTAATATATATTTTATGAGTAAAATATATAATTTAATATATGTTCACATATATTTTATAATACCATTACCATTAATTACTAATATATATACTTAACTGTATTTGTGTTCTTAATCCAGTAAAATGACTAAAATGTTACCATCATTTGCTTCTAAGTTTTATTTAACTCATTTGTTTTATGTCGTTTAACTATGCATGTCTAAACATGAAACAGATTTTCAGTCTTTGTAGAGATTTTAGTGTGATATTAACTCTTGCTTTTAAAATAAACGTGTTTTTGTCAGATGACTTACAGGGTACACAGTCAGAAATTGAGGCAAAACAAGAAATTCAGCATCTTCGCAAGGAATTGATCGAAGCCCAGGAGCTAGCTAGAGCAAGTAAACAAAAATGCTTTGAACTTCAAGGTGAGATCAAGATTACTTTGGTTCTTAAGGGGATGTGTGGAGGCAGCAATGATATAATTGGATAGCCACAAACTTGGAGTCCAGAAGTACAGTTTCTTGTTCCAGATCTACAATTTTATTAGATATGTGATCTTGGGACATTCACTTGACCTCTCTGAACTTGTATTTCAGGTCAGTAAAATGAGGAGAGTTACAAGTTACTCTGCCTTCACATTGTTGACGTGAAGATTGAGTTTACCAATGAAAGATCTTAATAGCTATTAATACATATTAAGTAACAACAATAGAGGCCAGCTCGGTGGCTCAGGCTGTAATCCCACGCCTTGGGAGGCTGAGGTGAGTGGATTGCCTGAGCCCGCGAGTTCGAGACCCGCCTGGGCAACTTGGTGAGACCT